GCCTTCTGGGGACGCGGATCTCCCCGGCGGCGCGTGCGCGGTGCTGTCCTTGCTCTGCGGACGGCGGCGACTGGGTTCAACCCCCCGCAAGCCTGCACCTCGCTTCCGCGGTTCCCACGAAGAGACGGGCCCCCCACCCCGGTGGCCGCCCGCTACTGAGCCCGCAGCTGGCGGGGCGGACGGCCGTCGGGACAGGGCGGGTGTCCAGACACCCAGAGCGACGCCTCGTTTGGAAGGTGGGCGCCTGCTGGCGTAACTTGCAGGCTGCGATTTCAAGCCGGGAGACCGTCGGGGTTGTGAGAAAGGCCCGGCCAGCCCTCCCTGGACCGACCTGACATTGCCCGAGTTGCAATGAGAGGTGACGGTCAGGCAGGAACGAGGTCATCCCGCAGAGTGGACCTTGGGGTCGACCGGAGCCCTCATTCTCAAACAGTTTACTCCTGGAGGTCACGGGAAGAGGGGCGGTGATGCACCAGCAGGCGCTGGTCTGCAGAAGCACCAACTATGGAGAGAGAGTGGGCATCACTCTGGGCCCCTCATGGGACAGCTGTCCCAGACACGGTAACTCACGCAGAATGAACCGGCTTTTATTAACATCTTGAATCTTAAAACACAGCAAACAGGAGTTAAGAGTTACTGCCCTGAACAAGTACAAAGGATGGGAAGCAAAGAGGGCTCAGGAAGCCACCTGAGCAGAGGGAGGCAGCACCCTCCGAGAGTGCATCCTGACCCACGGGTGCTGCAGGATCTGGGCCAAGGGCAGTCGCTCTGAGGGCTGGTATCGCAGAAGGCTGGAGATCAAGTCCTGGGCTCCCAGAGGCACTGATGGGGGGAATCTTACATCAACCTGAGGCCACGGAAGAAGAAACATGGTTAACGTGGTCCAGGTTCTCTTTCTTAAGTGCCTTAAACACAATGTTCGGGATCTCAGTAACCAAGTGGATCTGGATCCGTGTACCCCAAGTGGGCCAGCCAGGCAGCCACCACTGACCAGCTTCCCCATGAGGGCAGTGGCCAGCCCACCTTGAGAATTCGTCTGTAGGTCTCATTGTGCGTGGAGCTCTCAAAGGGGGGTTTTCCCACCAGCAGCTCGTAGCAGAGTACCCCGATGCACCACAGGTCCACCTTCTCATTGTATGTTCTCCCCTCAATCATTTCGGGGGGAAGATAGTCCAGAGTCCCACACATGGTCTTCCTCCTAGAAGGCAGAGAAGGGAGCACTGAGCAAAGAACAAGGGAAACCCTTCTTAGCTCCTAGGGAGATGGGAGACCCTAAAAGTCCTCAGTGTTTCCCTCCTCTGTGAAGACACCAAGTTTTAATAGACAGGATCAGAGAAAACAAATCTTGGAACTATTCATAGTAATTTAGCTTATGACCCAAATGTCCCCACAAGAATATTCTGGACATAAGGTCTAGAACATAGCGATAGCGCATCAAGAACCAAGGAATGGATTACAGCTTCTTGTGTAGTAAAACAGACTCCTGCAGTCATGCAGCAGTGGTTCTCACATGGGAGGTAACTGATAACATTATATATTAATAGATCAAAAAATAACAGGGCTAACCACATTCTTTAAAATTATAACAAACACACCCATTTTTAAGAAGTATTTATATACATACCCAGGTTTGCAACTGGGCCTCAGGTATGAAGGAATGAAACTGCACCTAACTAGCACCCGAAGCCACCTGACCGCTACCTGACTCACCTCAGAGAGGGAGTGTGCACAGACCAGCCAAAGTCTGCAATTTTCACCTCCCCCCTGTATCCCAGCAGCAGGTTCTCGGGCTTAATATCCCTGTGGATGACCTTCTTCTCGTGGCAGTAGGTAAGCGCATCTGCCAGCTCCTCTATTATCTGTGGGAACAGAGCAGAGCGGCCTGTAAGTGAAAGGTGACCGTTGCCCTGAGGCGGCACACCACGCGAGTGTTCTGTCGGCTGAATCTCTCCTTCCGGTCACCACCTCCACTGCAGTGGGGGAGCATTTCCTCTGCCCACATTTCATGTGGGATGGACGCCAAGGTGGACAGATTCTCCTCTGCCCTAGCACAGCAGGTGGCTAGAGGGCCTCCTGGAAGGAGGCAAGACCTCCAGGAGCCAGCCAAACAGGTTCTAGAAATTTCTTGCTTCCTATTTCTAAGCCAGTTCCACTCATTTATTCCATGAATTCCCTCGGTCTTTCAGTGTTTCTCTGTGTTAGATTGTGAAGTTAAAGCCCGTAACAACCAAAGAACGCAAACTTATACCGACATTAGTACTCTAGGGGTGCGCAGGATATCCGAATGGGAAACTGTAGGATGTATGTGCCACTGTGTAAATTCATAGAACAAAGTTCTGAAATAATGGGACACAAGGGCTTATGCTCAGCAAAGTCAGTCAGAAAAAGACAAACGTTGGATGATTTCATTTGCGGGGATTGTAGAGAAACAAAGGAACAGGTGAAACGAAGCCAAAACAAACCCCAGAAATCTGCAGAACTGCAGGTACCGAGGGGTGGGTGGAGGGAAGAGGATCAGCGGACTGTGGTGGACAATGGGTGTTTCCATGGTGGACTGTGGTGTTTGCAAGATAGGTCTGAAGAGGCTTGAACCTACACCCCAAATTAAATTATATACAATGCTGTCATTACCGCAACAAAGATACCACCCAAAAAGTCAGAAATAAACCTAAAAGCAATCCCGTAACAGGCACAAGTGACCCACACCAGGGCGCAGTAAACTGTGGGCGCTGGGGCCCTGACTCACGGTAGCTGTTCGCTGTTCATCTAACGTGTGGCAGTTCTGCAGCTCCTTGTAAAGCTCACCCCGTGGGGCATATTCGAGAATCAGGTACACCCGGCGGGCGTCATGGAAGTAGTTGTACAGGCGTAGGATATTGGGGTGTCTGGAGGAAGGAAGGACCAAGAAGGTTCAGGCTCCTCCCAGTTACGAGGATGCTCTTACAAGTGACTGGCCACACGGGGCACAGCCTCGGCTGGGGGTGCTGGGGGAGGTTGGGGGCCAGCGCAGGAAACGGGATCCGGAAGGAGCTGTTCATGCTGTAACGGGAACGAGTCACGGGCGGGCCCGCACGCAGGACGGGGCTTTACCGCAGATGCGCCTGAATTTCCACCTCCCTGCGCAGCTGGTGCTCCAGCCCCTCCTTCTCGATCTGGGACTTGAAGAGGACCTTGAGGGCCACGAGGAACCGGCTCTCCCTGAGCCGAGCCAGGTACACATTCCCAAACTTGCCCTTGCCCAGGGGCCGCCCGATCTCAAAGTCGTCGATGGTGAGGCGCCGCCTGGGGAGAAAGAGACTCGATCGCGAGGCGGGGCCGGGCGTCGGGGCCGAGCCCCGCGTCCCGCGGGCCACGCACGCCTCCGCTGCGGCCCTCCGGGCCTCCGACCTCCCTTCTCCGCAGACGCTCACACGGTCGCGACGGGCAGCGCGGGTCCTCCTGCAGCCCCTGGGCGAGAGAAACAGGCTGGGCGGCCGCCTCTTCCCTCTCCGCGCCCGTCCCGTCCGGCCCCGGTCGCCCCTTCACCTGCGGCCTGGGCGTCGCCCGACTTCATCGCGGTTCCGGCGCCCACGGCGTGGAGACCGGGTCCACACCCGCCGTCCCGGGCCGTCCGCGCCGGGCGTCAGGTCGCGGGGTCCGAGGAGGGCGCGGCAGCGGCGCCCAGGCGAGCTCGCCGCGCGCAGCTTCCGGGTCTGGGGCGGACGCGCGCCGGCGGCGAAGCCGAACGGACCTTTTATTGCGCGCGCCCTGGTCTCATAGGCTGACACCAGTTCCGGATCCGTTCCTATTGGTTGGGGTTTCCGCGGCCGTACACAGCACGGCCACTAGCAGACACGGCCGAGGGAGGCTCCGCCCAGATCACGAGGGCCGGGCCAATGAGGCGGCAGGGGCGGAGCCTTGCGCGTGGGCGCGAGAGCCCTGGCGGCCGCAGCCCCCGTCGCGCTCCCCCGCGGGCTCGAGTCGCGCACGCCCGGGAGGCACCGCCTTGGGGCGTCCCCCGCTCGACGCCCCTACTCCGAGCCTTGCTTCTGGCCCCTGTCGCCCAACACCTCGGGGGCGTCCCCGGCCGGGGCACCCGCGCCCCACGTGGCGTGGCGCTGGGACGCGCGACTGCGTGTCCCCCACGGCCCCGGCGAGCGTGGGGCGCCAGTGGGAGAAACAACGGGCGCGTGGCGTGTACAGAACCCCAGAAACTTTGAGGTCGCAGTATTTTAATCGGGCTCCAGGATGAACGTCGGGGAAATAATGGCGGCGAGGGCCGGCTCAGCTCCCAGCGGCTGGGCGCGCGGCCCTGCAGAGTCGGCGCGGTCCTGCCACCCCCGGGCCGGGGTTCGGGCCGCGGGGAGCCGCGCCGCCAGCACGGGCGCACGCCCCAAGGCTCCCCGCGGCACGAGTGACGGAAGCACCCGTGGCTGGCCGTGCGCGAGAGGGACGTTAGCCACGGACAGGGTGCGCGGCCGCCCGGAGGGCGGGTCCTCGCCGCTGTGGCCTGGAGGGGCCGCGCCGCAAGTGCCGACGTTCGAGCCGCTCCGCCACGCCGGCCGCGCTGCGGCGTGATCTCGCCCTCGAGCCAGCACAGCCCGCCAGCGGTCTGCTGCTAGAAGGGAGCCGGCGCCCGCTCAGCCTCGCTCCTGGTGTGGCAACAGTCCCGAGACGAAGGTCGCTTTGTAACGGGGAGGGAAGTCAGATGGGGCCGGCTGCCTGGCTGCTCACAGGCTAAGGAGGTGCCAGGCTGGACAAGGACGTTTCTGGGTGTTAAAACTGACAGGCACCTCCAAGGAGCAGGAAATTAGTACTTTCAGGAAAACTCCAAGGGCAACCTGAGTCCCTCTTCCTGGCAGAGACCCACCGGCCCTTAGCGCCACGCCCTGCAGAAGCAGTGACAGGCAAGATGGCCAGGCGGGGCCTTACTTACACACTCCAGTGGGGAACTCTCTGGGCTCAGTCTCAGCACCATGGGGCTGTCCCAGCAACTGCACCAGTTCCATCCCCGGCCAGGAAGTGACCCCCAGGGCACATTAGCTCCCTGCTGTCTCCCCACTGCTCCCCTCAGCAGTGGTTTCAGTGGATCCACCTGTTCTGCTGTCTCTGGGGAGTCCTCTCACTCCCCCCCCCCCACACCTCTGGCCTGCACAAATAAATCTTTTTTAAATAAACACTAGTGGGTTCAGATATCTGAGACTCCACACTTGGCCCAACCCTGGAGAGGTCGTGCAGGACTTGGGGCAACTCCTGGCCACCGCCAGGGTGCTGGGCAACCTCACTGGTCAGGAAACCATAGGCAGCGCCATCGCAGAAGTTGACTACTTATGAAGGCGGGAAGGCAGGCAGAGGGGTCTCTATCTGGGTGTGGGGCCGCAAGGCTGGCCAGCGACATGGTGTCTCCCTGCACTCAGCCTCCACTGCCGGGAGGGGGTGACGCCCTCCTGCAATGCCAGAGGACCCAGCCCCGGACCCCACCGCTCTCTACACAGCCACTGCCAGTGTCGGGGCACATTCCCCTCCCGGTATTCCGCCCCTTGTATACAGTGAGAATCAGAAGCGTTTTCCTCCTAATTGCTCATTTATTTATCAGGAATATTAACGGGCCTCATGCGGGGGGAGACATGCCACGTCTCCTCAGAGTTCCAAGTAGTGTCACCCCCAGGTGGCTCAGCCAGGTAGTGGTCATAGGCATCCGACAGGGGGTGGGGCAGCAGGATGGGTCTGGGGGGGGCAGGGCAAGGAGGAGGGAGCAGTGGCCTGTCAGGAACATCCAAGGAAGAGGACAGGACCTGCAGGTGAAGGGCCTGCAGCAGGGGAGTCAGGAGGGGCCTGGCGGGGACTCTGGGCACCGGTGATGCTGGGGCATGAGGCTGGTGGGGCAGTGCTGAAGTCCTGCTCCCTCCACTCACCTCAGCGCCACACAGCCCCCCAGAATAGGGCCTCCCAGCACAGGCTCCAAGGTGCACCTCTTCCACTTTCTCCCACTCCCTCCAAGGTGGCTGTGGGGTAAGAGCAGGTCCTGGGGAACAGCCAAATGACTGACATCTGGGCCCGACTGTCCCTGTCTTATCACACAAGGGCTGGTCTTGCAAGCAGCTGCAGCAGGGATCACCTGGCTGCCTGGGCCCTGCCAACCGGCACTCGTGAGGCTGGAGGGCCAGAGGTGAAGGGCGGGTCACCCTGGCACCTGAGGTCGGGGTCCCGGAGGGTGGACTCAGGTGAGGCCAACAGGAGGTATTGTGTGGGTTCACTCCTGCCCCCCAAGGGGAGAGGCCAGAGGCTAGCTTCCCGCTGAAGCCTGGCCTACCCATCCTGCTGGGAGATGGGGGCCCCAAGGCCACACCTGGAACACACCTGGCCCCACAGCCACGGGGCCACCCACTCCCCACCAACGATGCTGCAGCACCATGGCCATGGCACCAGCCTGGTTTCACCCCACTGGCACCGGAAGGCAGCTGAGGGTGCCAGAGTCAGAAACATATGGACACGGCAGTCAGGGACCTCCTCGGTCACCTGGCCTTTGGGGCCACCTAGGTGAGCAGTGGGCAGTGGGCGTGATGAGGCAGGCCCCACGGAGACGCAGGTACGCACGCACTGCACACACCATCTCTCACAACTCAAACCTCGGTTGCATGGTCTTGTGAGCCATTCCCAGGACCTGGTGGCATTCTCGGCCCACTGGTCACACGATACAAACCTTAGCCTCAAAGCACGTATTTTGGTGTAGCAAGTGACATTTAATGAGCATCTCAGAATTCTCAGTGAACCCGTGTCCAGTGGGCTCCCACCTCTGGAGCTTTGTCCTTGGCCAACGTCCAAGTCTTGGATGTCACCGGAGAGCTGCTGGCATCATCTCCAACAAGCGCTCCTGCGCCACCCTGGCCGCAGCCTAACTCCTTGATGGAGTTTCTACTAAGTGTGTTCGCGTGGCTCGCGAGCCACAGAGGTGGACACCAGCAAAGGGCCCGATAAAAGGGGCAGGTGGGACACAAAGGTGCTTCGTGCTGGAGGCCTTTAACACTGGGGAGTGGCAGGGACGTCGGGAGAGGTGGACAGGGCAGTGGCGCAATGACCGTGAGACAGAAGCGGAGCTCACTGGGTGAGCGGCGCAGACCGCGCCTGGGGTGACACAGACGTGAACACAGGCGCGGACCGTGGGACGGAGAGGATCAGGAGGGCAGGTCGACATCAGCAGTGGGGGTGTCCTGGGCAAGCTGGGGGAGGGCAAGGTGGTCACCACAAGCGTAAGCGACCCCGGAAGAGGAGTGACCCTCCTGAGGACGTCCCGGGAGAGGACACGCGGAGAGCTGTGCTGCGGACC